TCGGAGAAGAAGCAGCCATGATGCTAAGCAAACGTTAGCGAGGGCTACAAGATCCCGAAATACACGAATAAAACCAAGAAGTGTTGAAAAATAAAAGATTTTTTTAAGCACAGTCCCAATAAGAACAAACTATATCAAAGGTGATTTAGGACTAGAAGTAGAACCGTGCAAAGGTAGATAATCCAGTGAGTTGAAGAAATTCTCCAAACAAACAAACAAATTGCGAAGCACCAGCAGCAAAGCAGAAAATGATACAATACATTACCCCACGTCTATCCTCACCCTGTCTCCTGAACACAGGAGCAGGTGTACGGAGGAAAACAGCTAGGTAGCAGCTCTAAAGTTTGTGTGCTTGTTAACGGAGCAGTCTTTCACTGTCAGCGTCTGGCGTCCTCCAATAGACAACCCTTYCTGAACTGAGGCTAGTCTCAATTAGATACAGAGTAATGACACAGCCCTCCCTTCAGGAAATCCATTCCACAGTTTGCAGCAAGCTAGCAGGTGAGCAGCTCTGTGGCTAACCCAACTTTTCACCACAACATGACTTTGTGTGTTTAAAACTGGAGACTTTGTGGCATATACCACTTTTTAAATTGTGATTGTAGGCCAATAACAAATTCTGATGTATTTGATAGCTTTGAATTGAAGTATGTGTTTTGCAGCGTATTCAAGACATGGAGGAGAGGCGAATTGAGAGAATCTGTGAAGCAATGCATTTGTCAGCAGAGGCAGAAAGAAAAGTTCTTCCTTTAGTGAGTCGCTGTCTGGATGCAATGATAGATGCTGCTGAAAGCATCCAACCAAGAAAGGTGAGGCTGCTGCTTTCCTTAATGAGATCATTTTTACTAATTGGTATTTTACAATGTATGCAAATATTTTTGTACAATGCGATGAGAGAACTTTTGCTATGAACTGAACTGTTATTAACTGAACTGAAGCTATAGTTACWTATAAAAGAACCTCAATCTATAGCGGCACGACGGCTCAGTGGTTAGCACCGACGCCTCACAGCAAGAAGGTCCTGGGTTCGATCCCCGGTTCGGACCTGGGGTCTTTCTGTGCGGAGTTTGCATGTTCTCCTCGTGCTTGCGTGGGTTTTCTCCGGGTACTCCGGTTTCCCCCACARCACAAAAACATGTACAATAGGTTGCCTTCAGGCCCAGGCCGCCCTTGAAAAAGAGATSTGAGATCTCAATGGGATTTGCCTGGTAAAATAACGGTAAATAAAATAAAAAATAAAATCTGGTCGGGACCTGATATTCCTTGAGATGACCTTAACYCTGAATCTGAGCTTGGCCTGTTTCTAAACATGAACTTGATTTAAATCTGAACCTGAAGCCTAATGTGAGCTTTCAGCTCTCCTGAACCTTACCTGACTTGAAGCTGACCTAAACCTGAACTTCAGTCTGCTGCCATTGAGTTTTATTTTTTTTTTCTGAATGTTGTTTGTGAGATGTTAAACTCTGAGACTGGTCAACCTGTATTTTGTTGKCATTATAAATATGCTTAGAGTTTGTGGTCATAAAATCAATGATCTACTTCAGAGTTTGGCTTCTCAGTATCAAAGTTAACCTGATGGATTGAATAATTGTTTCATGCTAGAGTTGTGTAGTCTGTATTATTTAGTTATAGCCAGTATTTGAGTTTATGTAGCATTTTTACCAAAGGTGTGGTGATAATTTATCCGGTTTGATGCATTTGTGTGCAGGACACTCATCATGTAGTGGAGGTGTACAAATCTGGCTTTGATCCTCCAGGTGATATTGAATTTCAAGACTACAGTGCCACCATGAGGCGCAGCATCTCTGAATCCAGCTATCTGGACAATCGAGCTGAGGGGCGGAGACACAGCAGGAAGCTGTGGCCTTTCTTACGTAAAACCAAGGTAACCCCCACCCC